ACGTAGTTAACCAGTTCGAGGCGCCCACCTCCTACGCTATAGCTACTGCTACTACTACTATTAGAAGGGAATGTAACGTATCAAAAGGGGAAGAGAGAGAGAGTGGAGAGGAGAGACAAATAGGTTACCCTTATCTAATGTGATCCAGAACTTTTTAAATAAGGTTATAACTTACACTCTACTGATTACTCTTTAGGGTGAGATACACACCGTACTTCATCCTTAAAAACTTACTGCTACACTACTACTACTTTGCTGTCACTCGAAATCGAGTATGACGGTCATCCAGCTATGATACAATGATACGAGTTATTAAGGATGTCACCTTCGTTGGTGATCTCTGAGGTGACTTGAGAGGCCGTTACGGGACCGGCAAGGTCACCCACAGATGATGCACGTGTGGAGGGGTACATCTAAGGCGGGAGGGGCAGCTGCAGCGTATTTCTAGCGTTGGCGCTTGTCTGACTCTGAATGCAGTCGGGCTAACTTGAAAGTATTGACACTTTCTCGTGTGGTGCTCCTCCAAGCATTACGGTGTAGAGTAATTGTCTCCCATGTGAGGGGTTTGATTTGTCACCTTTTTTGGTTTGTATTAAGACTATCCTTATACCTTTTCAGTTACCCGGCAGAGCAAGTTTACTATTCACTAGGTGACTGTAAAGTACAGAGTTGCTTTGGTAGTCTACTGTCGTCCATGCAGGTAACATGGCCAGTCCAACATACAGTAGATGTTCATGTATAATGGTAGCCTCGATGCTCCTACATTTGGTGTCAGCGAGAACGCTGGCATTTGTTCTCATGTTTTCCCAGCGAACTCGGAGGATGGAACGTAGACTACGCTGATGAAAGTTTTAAGTGCCTTGAGGTGCCTCCTGTATGTGACTCATATCTTGCTGCCATATAGTAGGGTGGGGAGGACCACTGCTTGATAAGTGAAGACACGGGTATGGAGTCTGCCTAGGCTTGAGATGTACTTCTGATCCGATGTTGAATCTCTTCATCGGTATCCGCGGTGGTGGACAGGTGCGAGCTGAAACACTGAAAGTGGAGAGCACTGGAGAGAGTAGTACCATTAAGCTGGGTAGATGGTGGGTGTGTGTCTGAGGCAGTGGCAGGCTGAAAGAGAGTCTGAGACTGACGTACATTCACCTCAAGTCCGAAGTGTGCATACGCATCTGCATAGGTGTTCAGGATCTCCTGTAGGTCGTGTTCAGTGTGAACATACTGAAGTTCAGTAATGGAAGCTCCCGGAACCTTTGTTCTTGCCTGGAGTCGTCTCATGTTGAAAAGTCCCATCACGAGGTAATGGCTGCCCACTCCAACAGCTAAATTGGCGCTGGCACGAGTAAGGAAGGCAGCCAAGAAAATGGAAAAGAGAGTTGATGTAAGTACACATCCTTGGATGGGGAAGAACTCAGACTGGGTACCATTGTGCAGGACACTGCCGTTCATGCCATCGTAGAGTTGCCTTACAATGGTGATGGATTTTGGCTGGCAGCCAAAAACGGCTGGGAGTTCGCCAGAGTGCTTCCCTGTTGACCGAGTCGAAGGCATTTGTTAGTTCGATGAATGCCAAGTACAGGCCAAGACGCTGTTCTCTGCACTTTTCCTGTATCTAGCGGGCAGCAAAGATCATGTAAAAGGTGCCATGTGATGATCTAAACTCTAAAGCCACACTGAGATTTGGGGAGGAAGTATTCTGCCTCAGGAAGAAGTCTATTTAGGAGTACACTGGCGATAATCTTGCCAGCTACGGACAGTAGCGAGATCCCACAGTAGTTGCCACAGTCTGACTGGTCTCCCTTGTTCTTATAAATATTGACGATGGAGACGTCTTTAAGAGCTTGGGGGATTTACTCCTTTTCTTGTATATTCTCCAGGAGAGAGTGGAGACGGATGGTTAGCAGAGGTCCTCCTGCTTAATACACGTCAGCTGGCATTCCATTAGGCCCTAAGGCTTTGTTATTTTTCATCTGTTTGATGGCAGTAGCTACCTCATCCATGGATGGAAGATAGCTGAGGTGGGTCAGCTCTGTATGCCTAGTGACCTGCTAGGTAGTTAGGACATCAACATCAGTGTTTTGGTTGAGCTCCGAATGGTAGTGCTCTTTCTAGGGCTTTAGGATGCCTTCTTCGTCTTTAATTAGGGAGTTACTGTCGGATGAGTAGAGGGGGCCGTACCATGAGTGATTTGTTCATAAAATGTTTTAGTGGAATGGAAACGTAAAGATTGCACAATTTGTGTTGATGTGTAAGTTTTGCGTTTCACATGCTTTATTTTTCAACCAATTTTTCTTTAGCTTGCGAAGTTCATGCTGGGTCGCTGCTTTCTTTTTGCGGAAGGTGTTGGCTTTGATCTGAAACTGAGGGTTGTTCTGCCAATCAGTTAAAGCAACACATTTATCACCAACGAGTACGTTGATTTCCGGGTCATTTTCATCAAACTAGTTCTGGTGTATTTTTTCGATCTGGCCCAGGGTTTCTCTGCAGGTTTTTGTCATGACAGTATCGAGAATATCCCGTTGGACACTGGGATATGGGTTGTTTCTTGGTAGGTGGTTTATCAACCCATGTTCAAGCTGCTCTCTGAAAGCGTGTGCTACCACTGTATCCTCCAGATGCTTAGTGTCAAGAACTCTTCTGGAGGCTTGCTGCCTTCGCCATTTTGAAGCGACGTGAAGTGAAAGCTTGGCTTTGACGAGCTGATGATCAGTGTTGCAGTGGTCTGAGCCACGCATGGCTCGGGCAATGAGGGCATCTCGGTGATCTCTTTCTCTGACAATGCTGTAGTCGTGAGATGCCTGTGATTAGATCATGGGTATTGCCACGAACCTTTGAACTTGTCGGCCTGTCTAAACAAAGTATTGGTAATAGTGAGGTTGTGTGCAGCACACATGCTGAGGAGAAGTAGGCCGTTGGGATTACACTTGCCTAGTCCATTTCTCCCTATGGTTCCCGGTCATATGTCAACATTTCTGCCAACTCTGGCAATGAAGTCTCCTAGGACCACAACCTTATCTTCTCTCAGGATAGAGGTTAGCACTCTGTCAAGGTCGGCGTAAAAGGCCTCCTTAATGTCATCCTTTGCACTCAGTGTTGGGGCGCTTGCACTGATGAAGAAGGCCTTTTGTTATTCACTGGGACTCGGAGCGTTATAACACGCTCATTGATGCCAACAGGCATTTCAGTTAGCCCATGTACGATGCATTGATGGATGGCAAAGCCAACTCCATAAATGCTGTTTCTCTCCGCAGCAGGCTTACCCTTCCAGAAGAAGGTATAGCCAGACTCCCGTTCTGTGAGTCGATCCTCGTCTGGGAGCCAGGACTCACGAATGGCTGCTATGTCGATGTTATACCCAGCCAGCTCTTTTGACAAGGGGGCAATTCTTATTTCAGGACGCTCATTTATGCCAGAAACCAGAAGGGTCCTGACATTCCAAGCAGCGACCAAAAGAGGTTGTATAGTTTGTTTTTGTTTTGATCTGTGATTATGATTGTGTTTCCGACCGCATAAAGATGACCTTACTACATGCGGTTGTCCAGCCAGGTTGGGTTTTTAGGCAGGCTATGTTTAGAACACCTTTTCTAGCCCCCTTCCCATGTGGGGTGATCAGAGTGGCTCCTCGAAAGGGCTGCTCAGTCGCACAGACAGGACCAGAATTCACTGCTGACTAGATTGCAGTGCACAAACGACCATCGTATCTATGACATTCATAAGCAGACTTGTGAATAGAGACTCCCGGCAGTCATCTCTGCCTGTCTCCGTTACCACTCGTCCGTCACCATAGGACTTTTGGGGGTATTGGGGTTATGATGATGATGAGAAGTATAATGAGCTGGATGATGGCTGAGCGTGAATTGATTTATGTGGTGAGGCAGGAGCGCAGGCTACAACCATACATCTTGGCTCTTCCTTTTCCTGATCTATTGGTGCAAGTGTTGCAACGACTGGGGAGAGGGAGAGTTGCAATGGACTGCCGATAGCCCAGCTTGCTTGGTTTCGCCTTAGTAGCCTGTTCATAATACATAGCCTTAGTCCTCCGGTGTAGTCGTTGGGTTCCCGTGTTGGTCACCTCTTCCGCCTATACTGCCATTGGGGTCTCACTCCACCTCAGATTTTTATTCAGGGTTTACTCCCATATCCTTATACCTACCAAGGTTAATCCGCAAGACAGCGGAGCAGTGGTTGATAGGCACCAGGACATGTTCACATGCCAGTGGACCTTGTCGCCGTTCCTCTGGGGCACACTGTTGCTCCAAGATCCCCTACTGGTCTAGTCTGGGCCCACGAGGCACCCCCAGTTACCGTGTGTTGCCACGAGGAGGCACAGCAGAGGTCTTGAGGGTGAAGAGACTGTATACTGGCAGGGGAGGGCATATGCAAGTTGCTTCCCTGTTTGTCACGAGGGCTAGCCAGCGGCGGTAGCAAATAGCGAGAGGAAGCAAGCAATGCTTGCACCTTGGCACTCACATAATGCTTCCACAGTAGACGCAATACACCACCCTTTGTTTGCACACACACACACACACACACACTAAAACTACCTATTTTGTCGAAATTTCTTTTCGTTGTGTTCAGCATCTTTCTCTTAAGGTGTTTTTCTTTCAGTTGTGTTCTGTTTTACCACTCTGTTAACTGTGTTCATCATCCCGTTGTTACTGACTTCCCTAAATGTTATCTCTTGTTCTTCATGTTCCTGTTATTGTGTTCTTCTCTCTGTTATTGTATTCGTATGTTATTTACCCAAGTGTTTTTGTTGTTTATCTCTGTTATCATGTTCTATTATTATTCACCCAAATGTTATTGTTGTCCATATCAGTTATCCTATTCTAATGTTGTTCATCCAAGTGTTATTGTTGTTCATCTCCCTGTTATCATGTTCCAATTTTATTCATCCCATTTATATTGCAGTCTTCTCACGTTGTCAACTCTCCCCCAATCCCATTATCTTTCCCCATTTCCACTTCTCTTATTTATCATCTTGTCTCCATCCACAGGTTATCATGGAGTCTTTGGTTGACACATACCATCAGTGGGGAGCGGAGTTAATTTCTACAATGCAGAGAACGTAAGTTAAAGTTTCTTGTCGTAATGTTGTCGTGCTCAGTGTTTACATGTTTCTGTTTTCGTGGTTGTGTTGGTAAATTACTAAACTTTTTAATTTGACTAAGTTGCAAAATTTTTGTGCTGAGGACTTTCAAAGTCGCTAAATTTCTGAAGTAATGGATTTCAAAGTTGTTAAATTTTTGGGTTACTCAGTTTCAAAGTTACTAAATTTCTTAAGAAATAAATTTCAAAGTTGTTTACTTTCAAAGTGGCTTAATTTCCAAGTAGCTACATTGTTGAGTAAAAATTCGATATTTGCAATTTTTTCGAAGTCATAAATGTTCACTTGCTTTAGTAGTGATGATAGCAACAGCAGCAGCAGCAGCAGCAGCAGCAGCAGCAGCAGCAGCAGCAGTAGCAGTAGCAGCAGTAGCAGCCTCAGTAGCAACAGCAGCAGCAGCAGCAGTAGTAGTAGTAGCTCTTCAAATACTGGCAATAATACCACATCTTTTCTGTCAGAGGACACACAAAGACTAAGCACAAAGAAAATGTGGCAGCAATGAAGAGAAGATTGACAATGTGGCAGAACAGGAACCCTTGAGGATCTCCTATGTGAAGCAAGAACACTGCAGGAGAGACTACAATTTACAGGTGACGGAAAGCAAAACACCGACGACGTTGCAAGAAAGTTTGGAAACAAAATGCGTGTGGGAAAAGTGCCTTTGGCAGTAAGATCTCTCACAGAGGAATCCTCCGGTGGGGTTCTGCCATTAAACAGAGAGACATTAAAACAACTGAAAGAAAAACATCACCCTGCAAGTGAAGACGAAGGCATCAGGTTCCAGGGTGACTATATCCCACCAAATGCTGTACTGTTCCAGAAAATAACAGAAGGGATGGTGTGGAAAAAGGCACTGAAGACTCGAGGAGGAGCCGGCCCTTCAGGTTTGGACGCAAACGGTTAGAGAATCATCCTCAGCACTAACAAGTTTGGCCCTGTAGCAAGTGATCTCTGCACTGCCATTGCCGTCCTTGCAAGAAAGCTGGCATCCTCGTGCTGCCATCACCTCCATGCTCTGACGGCCTGCCGCCTCATTCCCCTGGATAAGAATCCAGGATGTAGGCCTATAGGGGTGAGGGAAGTGTTGAGGCGGATCATCGGAAAATGCATAATGGAGGTGGTAAAGGATGATGTCAGGGCAGCAGCAGGGAACCTGCAAGTTTGTGCTGGCCACCAAGCTGGAGGAGAAGCTGCCTTTCACGCCATGAGAACGATATTTGAGCAGCGTGATTGTGAAGCCGTTCTCCTGGTTGACGCTTGAAAAGCATTCAACATGCTTTAACAGCAAGGACGCACTGCACAACATCAAGATCAAGCGTCCAAGCTTTGCAATGTATGTTGAAAACTCCTATAGGAATCCATCAGACCTCTATATCGTAAACAACAAGGCTCTAAGAGGTGATACCATCATACAGTCAACCAAGGGAACAACGCAGGGGGACCCTGTTGCAATGGCAATGTATGCAATAGGCCTATCTGTGCTCCAACACACAATAAAATTTGAAACAACTGAGGTCAAACAAGTGGCGTACGCTGATGACCTTACAGGAGCAGGAAAAGTGGAGGACATCAAAAAGTGGTGGGACCTAGTAACATCGCGAGGCCCACAAATAGGGTACCACCCAAACGCCAGCAAGTCCTTGCTCATTGTGAAGCCAAAACATTATGAGCGGGCAATGGAGGTGTTTGGCGGAAGTGAGGTCAAAATAACAAAGGAAGGCCAAAGACACCGAGGCGCAGTAATCGGCACGACTGATTTCAAGATTGAGTTCGTAACGGGAAAGGTGAATGAGTGGGTTAGGAAAATCCAAGCACTGTCTGAGATTGCTAACACAGAGCCTCATGCGGCTTTTGCCGCATTCATCCATGGAGTCAAGCATCGCTGGAACCACCTGATGCGCACTATCCCTTATATTGGTCCCCTCCTCCACCCTCTGGAAGAAGCTATCAGTGTCAATTTCATTCCCAAATTAGTGAAACACCCTCACTTAACCCCAGCAGAAAGATCACTCCTTGCACTACCACCGAGACTGTGAGGTATGGGATTGACCAATCCAGAGGAGATTGCTGCCATCGAACATCAAAACTTAGTTAAGCTTACGGCAGCCCTAATCGACCACATATTAGCGCAGAACGCAACAGGGGAGGTGGATACTAGCGAAGTAAACAAGTTTCGAAGGTCCATTACGACAGAACGACAGCACAGCCAAAGTAATAAGTTGCAGCAACTGTTGTTGCAAGTACCAGAGAATTTGAAAAAAAGTAGCTATAGCGCAGGAGGTGGGCGCCTCGAATTGGTTAACTACGTTACCGATAAGGGCAAATGGTTTCAGTCTCAATAAACAAGAGTTTACAGATGCCAATGCTCTAAGGTATGGTAGGCCAGTGGAAGGTTTGCTTTCCCAATACTTGTGTGGCTCTTCCTATAACGTCGATCACGCCATGGTGCGCAAGAAATGGGGCTTCATATGCATGAGGCATGCTGAAGTGAGGGATCTCACAGCAAATATTTTGAAGGAAATCTGCCGTGATGTCATGGTAGAACCGACCCTCCATCCATTGGATGGTAAGATCTTTCAACATAGAACTTCAAACACATCCAACGAAGCCCGTGTTGACGTCAGTGCTCGAGGATTCTGGACAGGTGAACAGCGAGCCTTCTTCGACACCAGGATTTTTGATCCCATGGCCGCATGTCACAGTAACTTAGCTCTCGATGCTGCACACAGGAGGAAGGAGAACGCCAAGATAAGGGCATAATGGGAGGGAATTCAGAACGTTGATCAAGGCAGCTTCACCCCTCTAGTGTTCACAACCTCTGGTGGGATGGGACCAAGTGCAAGATGTTTCTCCGCCAGGATCGCGGAGGTGATCTCCGAACAGAAGCTGCAGCCCAAAAGTTATGTTACAGCCTGGATAAGATGTCGACTGTCCTTCTCTCTCCTTCGGTCGGCTTTGCTCTGCCTCGGGGAACGAGAGCTTCGGCCCCAAAGCCGACAACAGCTGCAGTTATTGACTATGAGGCTACAGTAACTGAATGCCGCATAGATCTACGGCTCAACTAATTCAACACAGCTAGGATAGCTATTTATGTATTAGGATATTTAATATTAAGGTAATAAAATGGCGGCGAAGGTGTAGCTATTGGGGGAGGCTGGAGGCCACGTTTAAAAAAAATAGTAGTAGTAGTAGTAGTAGTAGTAGTAGTAGTAGTAGTAGTAGTAGTAGTAGTAGTAGTAGTAGTAGTAGTGATAATGGTAGTAATTGTGGTGATGGTGATGGCAGTTGTGATTACCTCCACCTGTAGGAGTTAATTACCGGTGTGTCAAAGGCTAGCGTAATGACTCATTAAGACGTGGCTCCACCTATTGTTATGGCAGGGCAGGTGTGAGTCAGTTGTGTTGCCTCCCTCTGGTTGTGTTGTTCTGTATCTCTACTGGCAATGTTGTTGTGTTTTTCTGGTTGTTGTGGTTTTCTGTTTGTTGTAGTTGTGTTTTTGTGGTTATTGTAGTTGTGTTTATATGGTGTGGCTGTAGTTGTGTTTTTGTGGTTACTGTAGTTGTGGGTTTGTGGTTGCTGTGGTTGATTGGATATGTTTTTGCATGATTTGTATGTTTTTAGTTCGGCGTGGACGGTATGGTTTTGTACTAACGTAACAACCGCACACCACCCCAACTACCACACACCACCAATACCACTATCAATACCACCACCACACACAACCTCCGTCACATTACAATATACCACCACTAACCACCACCACACACCAGTGCATCACCTTATACCATACACAACCAGTATCACACATCTTTACTACCACACACTACCACTACCACAACTCCACTATCACACACCACCACCAATAACACACACTACTATCACCACCACTACCACAACACCACTATCCCCTACCACCAACAATCACCACTACCACTATTACACACCACCGCCACCACTACCACACATCGCAGCTTCCTATCCAGTAACTGAGGTAAATGAAGGAATATCTTATTCAGTTAAACAGAGTGGAAAGATTTATGGAGCATTGTTGTGTTCGCTTGGTTGAACACGCATACCAGACAACAGGGTGGAAGGCCCATGAATTTACCTAAGTTTGTCGACCCAGGTATACCTCTCTGAGTCTGTTTACTGCGCCTCTGAATGTACTTTTAAATTCCTCCCACTGTGTGATGGTCGTTGTTTATCAAATGGACGCTCGTGATTTTTTTAGGATTTATTTACGATTTTTTTACGATTCATTTACATATTTCATTTGATTTTTTTACGATTTTTGGCGATACACTTACGATTTTTTGCGATTCATTTACTATTTTTTGGCGATTAATTGGTTAGTTTTTGCGATTCCTTTACTTATTTTTATGTGATTCTTTTACGATTTTCTTGCGAATCATTTATGATTGTTTGCAATTTATTTATTTATTATTTTTGCGATTCATTCATTTACATATTTTTTTAAGAGATTCATATATTTACATATTCTTCTAGAAATTCATTAATTTATTTTTTGTTTTGCGATTCATATATTAAAAAAAATATATTTCCAAAATTAAAACATCATTATTGCTCTGACTTTCTGCCTCATTTACACGCAATTGGAGGGTCTCAATTGTATCTCTTACTTTGAGAACACAACATACATATATCGTTTCTCACTGTTATTCCTATTACATTATTTTTAAATTTGTATTCTAAATTTTATTCACTATGAACTTATTATTATTATTATTATTATTATTATTATTATTATTACTATTACTATTACTATTACTATTACTATTACTGTTACTGTTACTGTTACTGTTATTATTATTATTATTATTATTATTATTATTATTATTACTATTACTATTACTATTATTATTATTATTATTATTATTATTATTATTATTATTATTATTATTATTATTATTATTATTATTATTATTACATTTTCGCCCCCAAGGCCCCGACGAGGGTCAGTGACCTGTGCCTGGGAGGGCTAATCCCGTTAAAAATAAATAAAATAAAATCAGTATGAGACACTACCTGGACAGTACTACTGAAACCACACGCACTGAGACATTGATTTATTAACACTCCTAACTTCTTTTCTTAGATTCAGCCATTTCATCGGCACCATCATCAAACAACAGCTCACTCACATACTATTACATCCCCTGTCGTTATTCACCCAACACTTCTTCCTCCATTACTCTTGCTTGGGATCACTTGAAGATTAGCCCTCAGCATATTTCATCGGAAGATTAACGTAACCTAACCTAACCTAACCTAACCAAAAACACCTACACTCCTGGTAGCGTTAGAGTGTTTAATCATCAGTTGAAATAAGCTAGGAGGGGGTTGGGAGCTAATCTTTCATGTGGTCCATTACTGTAGTGCATCTCTTTCAGTACCTTGTTTATATGTATTCCTAAGAGAGAGAGAGAGAGAGAGAGAGAGAGAGAGAGAGAGGATAACTATCGTCATCATTAAGGCACTACTTCCATCAGTGTCTGGTCAGAGTTTCTTCCCTGATCTCTTTATATTTCTCAAATGAGCCAGAGAGGGTGGGCGGAGGGTGGTGAGTGGTGAGTGGTGGGTGGTGAATGGTGGGTGGTGAGTGATGGGTGGTGATTAGAGGGTGGTGGGTGACGGGTGGTGAGTGATGGGTGGTGATTAGAGGGTGGTGAGTAGTGGGTGGTGATTGATGGGTGGTGAGTAGTGGGTGGTGAGTAGTGGGTGGTGGGTGAGCGTGGTGAGTAGTGGGTGTGCAGGTGGGTGGTGGTGGTGGTGGTGGGTGGCAGGTGGTGAGTGGTGGGTGGTGGGTGGCGGGTGGTGAGTGGTGGGTGGTGGTGGTGGTGGGTGGGTAGTGGTATGTGGCAGTGATGTGGAGTGAGTGATGGGTGGTGGGTGGTTAGTGGTGGGTGGTGAGTGATGAGTAGTGAGTGATGGGTAGTGAGTGGTGGGTGGTGAGTGGTAGGTGGTGAGTGGTGTGTGGTGAGTGATGGGTGATTAGTGGTGAGTGATGAGTAATGAAAGTTTAGTGGTGGGTTATGAGTGGTGGGTGGTGGTGGTGGGTGGTGAGTGGCGGTGGTGGTGGTGGGTGGTGAGTGGTGGGTGGTAGTGATCGGTGATAAGTGGTGAGTGGTGATGGGTAGTGAGGTGGTAGGTTGTGAATGGTGGGTGTAGAGCGATGGGTGGTGAGTGGTGGGTTGCGAGTGGTGAGTGGTGAGTGAAGGGTATTGGATGGTGAGTGGTGGGTGAAGAGTGAGTGGAGGGTATTGGGTGGTGAGTGGAGGGTATTGGGTGGTGAGTGGAGGGTATTGGGTGGTGAGTGGTGGGTGAAGAGTGATGGGTGGTGCGTGGTGGATGGTGACTGGTGAGGGGGTGGTGAGTGATGGGTAGTGAGTGGTGAATCGTGGGTGGATAGTGATGGGAGGTGAGTGTTGGGTTGGTGAGTGGCGGGTGGTGAGTGATGGGTGGTGCGTGGTGGATGGTGAATGGTACGTGGTGAGTGATCGGTGATGAGTGGTAAGTGGTGATGGGTGGTGAGTAATGGGTGGTGAGTAATAGGTGGTGAGTGGTAGGTGGTGAGTGGTAGGTGGTGAGTGGTGGGTGGGTAGCCAGTGGTGGGTGTGTGGGTGGTTGGCGAGGGTTTTGGTGGATATTAGGACGATGGTGGAAAGGCAGAGGTGGTGGAAGGTGGCTGTTGAGTTGAGGGTGGGCGGTAGTGGGCGGTTGGTGGCTAGTAGGAAGAAGGCGGGTGGTGGAAGGTGGGCGGGTAGGTTGTTGATTTGATGGGTAATGGTAGCAGTGAGTGACATACGGTATCAGATGGGAGGGTGGGGGGGGTGGCTGATGATAAACCGATGAGTGGATGGGTAGGTGGGTGGCAACAATCTCCACTCCCAGAAAAAAAAACATTACCTAAAAAAAAAAAATCGACTCTTTCAAACACAGTGAAATGCTTCGTACGATTGTCACCCTCAGCCATATAAAAATTGAAAATAAAATGTTACCTTGTCACTTGCATTACCCTTCAAAGAACACTCACTGCGTCATGTGCACAGTACTTCCCCTAGATGACTACACGGTAAAAATAAAAACTATCGTACAGTTTCATCCTATACGTAACACAGATGGCGTTTCAGTCCTCAATTCATTTCGTCCAATAAACAGTTAACCATATGTCGCTCTTTGTTTTCGTAAATTTATGCAATGTAGTAATTAAATCATTCGCTGAGGTTCCCTGCGGCTTTTCCTATAACAATTTCAACCTTGTTTATGGATACTATAAAAGAATATCGGGATCTGGCAGGTTGAATTTATTTACAATGGAAGGATAATCATGCTTGCGTCCATTCATGCTATATTTTGCAGTTGAATATAGACACATGGTCCAGTTGTCCACTTGTCGCCTGTCAGGTGTATCTGTCACTGTTAGTCTTCGGCTATAAGTTTTACTGGTGGTATATTAAAGAACAAGATGCCATACACACACACACACACACACACACACATTTATAAACCTACAATCATACCTAGACACGGACTGAAGCAAGAACACAAACTTACACAAACACACACATAAAAAAATTATACACAGTCGCAAGCATACACACACACAGACACACACGCATATGCACAGAAGCACACCTAATACTTTAAGACAATTAAACACTTGTTCTCCTTGTCTCACCACTCTGAAAAAAAAGAAAAACAGCTTTAAGTATTTATTGACGCTACACGGGAGGCGGAAGAGAGAGACGCCGAGCTCAAGTAAAGAGCTGAGGAGACGAGGCAACAACCACCTTATCAACAAGACAACTTACAGCCCAAAGTTCCCTGTTGAGAGTTTTCCCTGCCAATATTCCCCGAGATAATATTTCCTCCCCGTTATTTTTCCTCCAGTGATATTTTCTTCCCTTGGTAATATTTCCTGACTACTCAATCCGTCATTATGTTTTTTTTTTGTTTTTTTTTTAAGAAAAGCTGAAAGGGTTTTGTCCTCACTTGCGGCGCGATGCGAGGACTTAGAATATCCCGTGACGACGACGCGGTCTGGTAAACAAAGGCGTCTTGACTCTCGGGTCGTGACGGCGTTTAATTATTGGGCTACACACTCAATTTTTTTTTCCGATGCAAGAAGAAAATATTAATGTCCAGAGAGTGTGTGTGTGTGTGTTTTAAGAGGGGTGGCTGTGAGGCTGGGGTGTGTGGGGGTGGGAGGAGGAGGTTGTAAGATGGAGGTGAGTGTTGGACGGTAAAGGTCATGGGGGAACTGAAGGCACCGAGGGGAGGGATTTGGGTGAATTTTGACTATTTATTGCACGTAAGATGGATTGGTATTTCATGCATGTATGTTTGTGAATTTCTGTACTGTTCAGGTATTGGGTTTTGTTTCAAACATGTATATTCGTTTTCTAGTATGTTGCTTCTTCACACACACACACACACACACACACACACACACACACACACACACTGAAGTTTTCCCTCTGGCAGAAATTGTTTGGAAAACAAAACAAAAAATGATAATGTCAGCTTTGTACCCGTGTGTGTGTGTGTGTGTGTGTGTTTGTGTGTGTGTGTTATCAAGTATACATATGGAACATCTTGCCACATTAAAATCATCATTGCAAGAAAAGAAACTCCACTATGCTGACGTCACGCCTCATCTCTGTAGGTTTCCAGGAAGTGCATTATTCTTCATGAAGGTGTCAGACGCCGGGGATCCCAGTCTGGCCTTCACATTCTACTTCCCTCTTGTGGTGGCTCTACACGCTGGCATCGGTGTCAGGCTCATGTGGTCCATCATTTTCTGCGAGTGGTCTAACATGATCCTTAAGTGGTAAGTCTAAGAGATTTTCAGCTACTATGTGTGTGTGTCTCAATCTGGTGTTGGTTTACATGTTGTGTTTCTTCGACTGTTTCACAACCCTCCTTCCTCTGCCTCTTCATTTTTCTTTTCCATTTTTTCCAGATCTATTTTCACCATGACTATCCACCTTGTTCTCGATCTACTGTACTTTTCCTCCTTTTGCCCTCCGACTTTGTCCTCCTCGCTCTCCTTGTCAGCCTCTCCTCCCCTATTTACTGCACACGTGTGGTCGATTATGACGCTTAAAACCTTAATTCCTGAGCATTCTCTTCAGTAGTTACATTCCCTCAGCGAAAGCGACTTAAGTTTTCTTAGACGTAGGCCTATTCATACAGTACAACAAAATATTTAATGTTTCCTTCTGATCGTGAATAGATTAACAATCAAAATGTTGGGTGTGCAAGACGGTGATCGGAAAGAAAGTAACAAGAAAAGAGTAACGGAAAAAAGTAGCAAATTTTGCTAGGAAATAAGGTATCAGAAAAAAGTATCAGTGGTAGTATCAATTTACTGGAAAAAAATAATAGCATATACACGAAAAAAAAATGAATAAAAAAAAATGTATATATACAGTATATATATATGCAAGTAAATCACTGTAGGTGCGCGTGATCTAGATATATGCTGATAACCACAAGGAAAGAAGAAAACACGAAGTTCCCAAGCACTTTCGTGTAATTACACGAAAGTGCTTGGGAACTTCTGATCTTAATTTTGGGGGCATTAACAACTAAGTCCTGCTACACGATAGTTCCTATAAGGAGTGGTCCTTCTGAAACCCCTCTATAGATTTCCATATCGAGGGATGGTCGTGGCCGATCAGGTTTTCAAACTTATTGTTCCAGCCCTCGCACAGTTCGCACACGCTATTAGTACAGGAATTGCCATCTAATGTTGCCTTATGAACGTTCCAAACATCTGGGGGGTATGGTGGGGAAATATGACACAATGTGATGCCCTGTGACTTCTCTTGTTGGATGGTTCCTAAATTGCCTGTGCCATAGGTTGCATCAAAGTGAGTAAGCAGCTCGGCAGCCTAGGTGGGAGCAACAGTCGTTGAGTGACGCATGCCATCAGGTACTTCGGCTGTGGGCAGGAAGGCGAGTCTATCCAGCATACCGCAGAACTGGAGAAACTCCATGGTTGATTAGTAATGCTGTGATAGACCAAGTTGTTGGATCTTACGCCAGATACTCGGTGCTAAGTGGTAGAAGCACCCTCTACTCTGCATCTCTCTGCCAAAACTGGCACCAACTGCATGCAATACAGCATCTTCAGTCTGTCACAGCAGTCTGCACCTGCAGGTTAAGTCCCAACTTAGTGCAGTGGTCGACGATGGCATCAAACAGCTCTGAGTACACTGCTCGTGTCTTGATCGGCATCAGAACATAGACACACGAAACATAGGTTGTGCTGAATGGGACTCGAATGGGACGTAAACCTGAGTGCCATCCATAAAGATGGTCTCTGCAGCTACCAGCCGATGAAGGCTTCCCTTTGTAGCAAAGGCGATGATGCGACTGTTAGCTTTTGGGCTATTGTCGTAAAGGAGGGGCTGCTCCGGGTTGGATCCAAGGGTCTTCTTCCATTTCTCCGGTAAGGTGAAGTGCCTCACAAAGAGGTAATTATGTAGTTTGAACGAAACCATCTATTTACTGATACTTTACTTCCTGTTACTTTTTAGCCGTTACTTTTTTCCTGATTTTTTTTTACCTTTTTTCCGTTACTTTCTTTCCTACATTTGTGCAAGAAGGGCGTCTGTAGCCAGACGGCCCAAACTATAGTCCTGCATCTGGATCCGGGAGGGGGAGGACTTAGATGAACCAAGAGAGGTTTCATTTCCAATTATCTAAATATTGATTGTTTGATCTAAAAATGAAAAAAAAAAAACACAATTTTATAGCATTTTAATACTGCCACCAAAAATATATCTAACAGTTGGCCACCAGCTCAAGGATTTTTCTGTTCATATAATTTATCCCGGATAAGGTTTATACTAAATATTTCCATCTACAGGTGAAGTCTGGCTTCCTACTACTAAGTGTGTTTGATTTAATCAGTTAATACAGGCATAGTTTTGCTCGGTACTTTGTACCTGTAAACATTTATTCTGGAAGATTTGGCTAAAGTCTTAGTTTTGTTTCCTTGATCATTAGTTTATATCTAGCGACTTAATGAGTTTTAATGACTGTCTGTGCATGAGGACTTAGCTTGGGACTATTAGTTCTTAGCATTCTCTCTGTGTATCTCTCTCTCACTGCACACACACACACACACACACACACACATTTATAATACATACGCAAGGTTTTGCTGTATATCCACACATTTGTAGAATTTTTACTCACCATATATACACATCTTTACGATTTTAGCTTTCTCCATGTAAACTTCTTCAGAGCCTAAACGGACACACCTGTAAGAGTTTTAGCTTCCCGAGGCCCACACAGCTACAAAGCCTCAGTTCTAACTCTCCTGCATGGTTTTGCTTAAACAGATGAGACATTCCCCGGGGACTTGGCTTCTTACACAAGTGGTTCATCAGAGGCTGGAGAAGCTGCCACGGTGGCCCGCCAGAACAATGGCCACACGCACAAGTTTCTTGTTTACAAACTTCTGCCACCAGCGAGCCACTTGTTGCTCCCTCACCTTCTCAACAATCATGCACAACACGCTCTCTCTCTACTGTAATATATATATATATATATATATATATATATATATATATATATATATATATATATATATATATATATATATATATATATATATATATATACTAGCGGAATCGCCGCCCTCTTTTCGCTAGGCCACGGTAGGACGCCACCTTCCGGGAGGCTCCACATTGTCTCACTGTAGTGCATTAAGGTAGACCACATTTTTGGTTTTGCCATTAGCAGCAAGTATGTACAGATTTTTGCCAGTTCCCACTCTGGAGCATCCAACATAGAACTGTCCATGAGAGAAGCAAGGAAACACCAGGTTTAGGCCAACCATCTTTAGGGACTGTCCCTGGCTTTTGTAGATGGTCATGGCAAAGCTCACTTTAACCGGGAACTGAAGTCGCTTGAACTCAAATGGCAGGTCAGTGGTGATGAGAGGTATCCTTGGTATAAAAACGTCCTCTCCTTTAGCTTTTCCTGTCAGTATTGTAGCTTCCAGTACATGTGGCATCATGTTCTTCTTGTGAGCGACTCGTCTCTCATTTTGAGTATGATATCTCGTTTCTCAAACTCTTGACCGACAATCAGGATGGCTACTTCATCAACTACAGGAGCATTGAATCTTCTTTCATGTTCTCCCTTAGGGGTCGTGTCTGCTTTGATCCTGACTTTGTACTCGTCAGAAGGCATGTTTTCCAGGGCATTTTTAAATGACTGTACATACGTGTTGCGCTCATGCAGCATTTCTTGGATAGATAGGACAATGTCATGTCTGACACCTTGAATGTTGCCACACCTGATAGTAGTCTGCTTTTCATGATCTCCCATGAAGTAGATTTGGAGGAACTTTGCCTGCTCATCTTCCAGTGGTAAGAGGGATCCTGCTTTGTGATAGACTTGACCCTGGACTTTGAATGTTGGTATGTATCCGGGCTCACGAACTACTCTGGTAGCTCCAAAGGATGTCATCTGGAAGCATTAATTGTACTTCAGTATATTTTCCAAGAAGTGTTTTGACTTATGTGTTGTTCCCAGCATGAGAGTCCTCAATGGTTGTGGTTGTTTTTCCAAATTTGGCAATCGTACGTTCCCACGAGAGCAGCACAGTCCAGCAGATTCTCCTTTATACTTCTTTGCATCACGACCTAACCTAACCTAACCTAACCTAACCTAACCTAACTTGGCTTAACCTTACGTAACCTAACCTAACCTAACCTAACCTAACCTAACCTAACCTAACCTAACCTAGCCTCTCCCACTCTCTTCCTTCTCCCCACGTATATATCTCCCTCTCTATCTCTCTCTCTCTCTCCTCCTCTCTAGGGTGATGGCAGGTGACCGTCCGTACTGGTGGGTCCACGAAACGAAGCTCTACGCCCACCGCGTGCCTCCCTACGTACACCAGTTCCCCGGGACGTGCGAGACGGGCCCCGGTATGCCCTCGGGTCACGCCAAGCTCAACGCTGCCATGTTCTATGTACTCGCGTCCGCCTTCTGCGAGCTGGTCGTCAAAAGAACTTCACTCCACAGGTAGGGGGAAAACCTCAGGTAGGGGGAAGACCTCAGGTAGGGGGAAGACCTCATCTCAGATAGGGGGAAGACCTCAGGTTGGGGGAAGACCTCAGGTAGAGGAAAGACATCAGGTAGGGGGAAGATCTCAGGTAGGAGGAAGATCTCAGGTGGGGGGAAGACCTCACGTAGGGAGAAGATCTCAGGCAGGGGGAGGGCCACAAGTAGGGGAAGACATCAGGTAGGGGGGAAGAATTCAGGTAAGGGGAAGACATCAGGTAGGGGGAAGATCTCAGGGAGGAGGAAGCTCTCAATGTAGGTTGAGTGATGATTATAAATTGTCTTCTCAGAGGTCGACGGATTGTTGTAATTGTTGTTGTTGTTTGTGTAGGTCAGGAGTGATGGAGGCTGTTGGGTTGAGATGAGAGTCCAGCTATCTCCTGACCAAACGTGACAGCATCTTTAATACCTCTCTCTCCTTCCCTCCCTCCCTCCCTCCCTCCCTCCTTCTATTATATCCCTCTTTTCACTCTATTTCCCCTTTTATTTCTCCTCTTACCTGTGCCTCCCCATGTCTCTCTCTCTCTCTACTCTTCCTTCCCCTCCTTCCCTTTCGTTAATTTCAATGCCTTCCATAACCCTTCCTTCCCTCTTTTCCTTCCTTCATTTCCTTCTACCATCTCCCTCTTCCCCTCTCCATCCCTCTACTACCTCCCTCTTCCCCTCTCCTCCCCTCTACTACCTCCCTCTTCCCCTCTCCTCCCCTCTACTACCTCCCTCTTCCCCTCTCCTCCTCTTTTTACTACCTCCTCTTCCCTCCCTCCTCCCTCTACTACCTCCCTCTTCTCCCTCCCTCCCTCTACTACCTCCCTCTTTTCCCCTTCTCCTCCCCTACTACTCCTCCCTCTTTCTCCCCTCTCCTCCTCTACTACTCCTCCTCTTTCCTCCTCCCTCTACTACCTCCCTCTTTTCCCTCTCCCTCTACTACCTCCCTCTTCCCCTCTTCTCCCCTCTACTACCTCCCTCTTCCCCTCTCCTCCCCTCTACTACCTCCCTCTTCCCCTCTCCTCCCCTCTACCCGTCACTCTTGATTGGACTCCTCAGGTTGACGCTGTTCTAGATTTTTGTGATAAGAAAAAAACGTAATAAATGTAACTGTATAATTTTCCTGGAAGTCTCAGAAAAATTAAAAGACTGATTAATTTATCTGAGTGTTATTTTAGTTATTAAATTTTCTTTTTTCCTTTTTTAGGTTTTTTTGGTTCTTAAGTTAGAGATTTGTTAAGTCATTGGAGATTTAAAATTGGATCTGTTAAAAGGAAGCAAAATGTAGTATTAAAGGGAGTTGTTTATTATATAAGTTAAATTATTATAGGAAGGGACCTTACAACATCTATTACCACTTTCACTACCACAACTACTTCCCCTTTCCTTACCACAACTACTACCACTTTCACTACCACAACTACTACCCTTCCCCTACCACAACCAATACCCCTTAGCCTACCACAACTACTACCTCTTCCCTTGCCACAACCACTACCCCTTGGCCTAACACAACCACTACCTCTTCCCTTGCCACAACCACTACCCCTTAGCCTACCACAGCTACTGCCCTTCCCCTACCACAATCACTACCTCTTCCCTTGCCACAACTCCCATACCCCTTAGCCTACCACAGCTACTGCCCTTCCCTACCACAATCACTACCTCTTCCCTTGCCACAACCACTACCCCTTAGCCTACCACAGCTACTGCCCTTCCCCCCACAACCACTACCTCTTCCTTGCAACAACCACTATCCTTAGCCTACCACAGCTACTGCCCTTCCCCACCACAACCCTACCCCTTAGCCTACCACAGCTACTGCCCTTCCCTACCACAACCACTACCTCTTCCTTGCCACAACCACTACCCCTTAGCCTACCACAGCTACTGCCCTTCCCCTACCAACACTACCTCTTCCCTTGCAACAACCACTACCCTTAGCCTACCACAGCTACTGCCCTTCCCCTACCACAACCACTACCCCTTAGCCTACCACAGCTACTGCCCTTCCCCTACCACAACCACTACCTCTTCCCTTGCCACAACCACTACCCCTTAGCCTACCACCCCTCATATTGTTCCTGTCGCTCAATATTACCCCAAGAACGAGTTCCAGGGGCGGCTCATCAACACAAGGGTTCTCACAGCCTCGTTGCCCACCTCCACTTTTGTCTAATTAATTTCCCGAATCTTTACTATAGGGCCACAACACACACACACACACAAAACAAAGACAATATTGTGTTAATTTGAAGCTTCTTGACATGACCAATTAATGTGTTTTTCTTTCCTCACAATACAGAAAATTAAGAGACTCTCACACAGACCAACTCATCCTCCTCCCTCCCTCCTTCTCTCCCACAGTCACTTAACCTTATACTTATGATGGTCACTTAGCTGGGTAGGTTCTCTTTCCTCTTCTCTCTATTACCTATCTGTTCTCTTTTTTCCCTCTCTTTTTAACCTTGTCTACTCTCTCTCTCTCTCTCTCTCTCTCTCTCTCTCTCTCTCTCTCTTTCTGTTCCTTTCTTTCTCTCCTTCTCGGTTCCCTCTCGTTTATCTCCCTCCACTCCCCGTCTTTCTCTCTCTCTCTCTTTTTCCTGTCCCTTCTTCCTCCCTCTCACCCCATCCTCCCTTCTCCCCCTCTTAATCCCATCTCTCTCCCACCCCGTCTCTCTTTCCTCTCCATCAGCATCGCCGCTCTCTCACTCTCTCTCTCTCCCGGCAGCACAAAGCAGCAGAGATGGGCGTGTCGTGGTATATGGGCGGCTTACGGGGTGTGGCTGGTGTTGGTGGTGGTTTCGAGGACCTACATGGCTGCCCACTTCCCCCATCAGTGTGTGGCCGGAGCTCTCATAGGTAAATGTAACTTATAGGGAAATATTATATCCTATAGGGAAATACTTTATATTATAGGAGAATATCATATCTTCTAGGGAAGTATTTGTTATAGGAACCACTATACTGTCTCGCCTTCACTCGTATATTATCATATATTTCTGGTTCATTTTATTAATATATATTTCTTTTATATTCAGCATCTCTGTTCATATATCTTTGTTGACCTTACATGTATATGATTCCTTCTTGCACTTTCTTTTATATAAAAGCATACATACGTTTTTCGTTAATGTTTCTAAAAGTTTATTCTAACCTAACCGAACCGAACCAAACCTAACCCCACGTCTAAAATTCACATGATCCCCCCCCAAAATTTTTTTTTTCCAACACATCCACGGGTATTCAATCAACTCATTCAACTCATCTGCCAACAATGATGCCAAGTGTCAAAATAATTGTGACAAATTCATCAGGGGAAATAACATCATACTGTAATATCGTCCCGGTTTCCACTGCATAATTTGGTGATTCGTACTTAATTTTTGGTCTGATTTTAAAATACGATGGGAGGAAACGGCGATTATATATTTTCCAGGGCATAATTCAGACGGTGTGTGACTACGGTGGGCTGAGAACATAAGAACATAAGAAAATAAGAAGTCTGCAATTGGCCGGTTGGCCTGTGCACGGCAGCTCCTGTCGAGAGTTACTACCACTCTTTATGATCCATGAATCTATCCAGCCTCCTTTTGAAACTTTCCAGCGTTGCAGCACTTACTACAAAGTTGCTAAGCGTGTTCCACTCGTCCACCACCCTAGTTGTAAACCAGTTCCTTCCTATCTCCCTCCTAAACCTAAACTTATCCAACTTAAATCCGTTGCTCCGAGTCCTATCCTGCTCGGCTATTATAAGAACTAGGGTGGGCTGGGTTAGAACATAAGAATGGAGGAAACTGCAGCGATCCTATTGACCCATACTGGGGAGTCCCGTTTACACCCAACCCCTATTGCTCATATAAGCATACAACCTGTGTTTGAAGCTATCCAGCGTATTCGAGTTAATGATGATATTTGGTAACTTGTTCCATTCATCCACTACTCTGTTTCCAAACCAGTGTTTACCTATTTCACGCCGAAATCTAAATTTGTCAAATTTAAAACCATTGTTACGAGTTCGCTCCTGGTTGGATAGTTTGAGTACCTTTGTAATGTCCCCTTTGTTTAACTTTTGTATTCAAGATGATTATTCTGGTAATGATGATGATGATGAAGTAATTCATTCTGTTTATGTTATCAAGTTAAGTAGTTATATATTTAACAGTGCATTAGTTATTAGCTCACGTTAATAAATAATACTGTACTTTATGATAATTACTGTATTTGTATTATATTCTATATCTGTATTGTATTTTGTAGTTTTGTTGTATTCTGCCTTAAATACCTGTTACGACGCCAGAAGAAAATAATAATTAAAGTAACAACATCAATAATAATAATAAAAGTAATAATAATAATAATAAGTCAATACAGCACTTTATATTGCCTGAACACATTACAGAAAGTTTACCGAAAGTAACAATAACGAGATTACTTAACCACAAGTAACAAAAAAGTAACAATTACCAAAAGAAAGTTTACTTAGATTATTTATTGTACAGGGTGATCCAAAAATTGTAGTACACTTTTTTATTATAATCTTTGTTTAAATAATGTAGAAATTATAATAAATGATAAAGCTATTACCATTAACATATAGGAGAACAGAATCGGGGAGGGGGGGGGGGGTTGATTGTATGTTTGTGAGTGACGTTGAGTTGGTCACTCATACCAGCCCCTCCTCTCTGAAGGTACTTGGGATCATCAAATGAATAGCTTCTGAGTGCACTGTAACTTTTGGATCACCCTGCATATCAATCAGCAATAAAAAAAACTTTAGTCTTGAGCAAAATTTATTTATTCGGGTGTGTGTGTGTGTGTGTGTGTGTGTGTGTGTGTGTGTGTGTGTTACTGACTTACCTCCTTCCTCGTCACTGTCCAGGGTTGATGATCGCTGTGTTGGTGCCTCACTTCCCTGCGCTGCAAGTACTGTCTCGTCGCAAGTACCTCGCCTTGACTGCCACCATCATCGTCACTGTCCTCGGTACTTACTTCTCCTACAAGTAAGTTAAGTTCCTCTTCTTGTTTTCGTCAGGTCCTACAAAAGAGTACGAAAAAAAAATATTATTTCACCAATTCCTTAAAAATATATTATGGATGTGTATATTTGTTTTAAACACTTCTTTAAATGACAATAAAAATCCCTTCCATTTCGATAAGTTCCGTAAGTTTTAAGAAAGATATATGTATTCTGACATTTTTTTTCCAAGAGATTATTTAGATTTAATGAAAACACACTATTTCGTTTTCAGAGATTCTTTCAATTCCATGAAAAGGTGAATTTCCATTTAGACAGATTCTGAAAATTTAATGAATTTTTCTAATCTCCTCACCAGTTGTTTAGCTTGCTGGAAAAAATGGTTCACGAGAAGATTAGCTCCACACCATAGTTTATTTAGCTTAAGATTAAACATCCTAACCTAACCTAAAGTAATACAGGTAATAAATATATATTGACGTTACTAGTAAAGGAAAGTGAAGGAGTTTTGGTAGCGTGGCCGATTCGTTACTTTCTCTTGATATTATATTCTTAGGGGGCATTTTCCAAACACCACTCCAAAAGTACAGCTATTTATTATTCAACTGGATGGCATGGACACATTAATAGAGAAGAACATAAGAACATAAGAAAATAAGGAGTCGGCAATAGGCCGGTTGGCCTGTGCATGGCAGCTCCTGTCGAGAGTTACTACCACTCTCTATCATCCATGAATCTATCCAGCCTCCCTTTGAAACTTTCCAGCGTTCCAGCACTTACTACAAAGTTGCTAAGCCTGTTCCACTCGTCCACCACCCTATTTGTAAACCAGTTTCTTCCTATCTCCCTCCTAAACCTAAACCTATCCAACTTGAATCCGTTGTTCCGAGTCCTATCCTGCTCGGATATCATAAGAACTTTATCTATCTAGATCATTATTATTATTTTTACGTAACTAATCAATGACTCTCGGACACAGACATGATATGGATACACTTCCCACCGTAGTTACCAAACATCATCATTAACTCGAATACGCTGAATAGCTTCAAACATAGGTTGGATGCTTATATGAGCAATAGGGATTGGGTGTAAACGGGACTGCCCAGTATGGGCCAATAGGCCCGCTGCAGTTTCCTCCATTCTTATGTTCTTACGTTCTTATGGATCGCTCTGACAATGGCTCACGTGTGACCTGAGGGAAGGCCAGGGGCTGGGGAAGCAGTCTGTAAGTGCTACTGCACTCTGTCTCCTGTGGGAAACTCTGCTAGTAGGGGAGGGAAGTCTCCCTCTGGGAGGGAGCTGTCGGCCTCTTCCCTGTTATAATGATGATCCGAATGCTAATGTTTTGAGACGGAACTGCAGGGCCTTACAGGAGAGTATATTGACGATCTCCAGCCGGAAGATGTCATCACTAAACTGGGTGTGTCTGGTCAGGTGACAGGTGTACAGGCTGGGGGGTAGCTTCTTGAATAACACGGTCATGTCACTGGGTCAAGCTAATCGCGTGGCGGTGAGAACTCTGGATCAATGAGACCGTGACCTCTCTTTGGGTCAGGTCTGGACAGCTGTTTGCCCAGGTGCTGTTTCTTGAGTAATACGGTCATAACGCCAGGTTAACTCAGGTACCTTGTCGTGACCTCTCCTGGGTCAGGTCTTACTGTCACTGTAGGGTGTGTCAATTGCGTGGGTGACCACGTGGGCATCTACTTACTGTTATACAGTATGTGTTGTATTTATTCTGGGCTGTAAGCTGTGGTCTGATAAACAATCATTACACCAACCTATCTTATTGTACCATAAGATTAAACACCCTTTCCTAACCTAACCTAACCTAACCCCTAGGAAGTTAAGAACATAAGAACATAAGAACATAAGAACATAAGAAAGTGGGATACTGCAGGAGGCCGACTGGCCCATACAGGGCAGATCCCTTTCACACCATCAGCACTTCCATGTGCCTATCCAACTTCGTCTTGAAGCTCCCTAGCGTCCCCGATCCTACTATAGCACTCGGTAGCCTATTCCACATATCCACAACTCTATTACCAAACCAGTGCTTGCCTATATCCTTTCTGAATCGGAATTTATCTAATTTAAAGCCATTTGTTCTAGTTATTTCGTTATTACTGAGCTTCAGAACATCTTCCATTTTACCCTTGTTAATCCCACTTACCCACTTGTACACCTCTATCATATCTCCCCTAACTCTACGCCTCTCTAATGAATGTAAGCCTAAGCTTTTCAGTCTTTCTTCATATGGAAGGTTTCTAATATTATGGATCATTTTTGTCATTCTTCTTTGTACTCTCTCCAAAGAATCTATGTCCATTCTATAATAAGGACACCAGAACTGAACCGCATAATCCATGTGTGGCCTCACTAATGCTAGGTAAAGTTTCAAGATAACGTCAGCAGTTCTGTTACTCACAGACCTAGATATGAACCCAAGAATCCTGTTTGCCTTGTTGCGAACGCCAATACATTGTTTTCTAGGTTTCAAGTCGTTGCTAACAAATACACCTAGATCTTTTTCACAGACTGAGTTTTCTATTTCCGTGTTACCTAGTTTATACTTAACGTTTGTATTCGTCTTCCCTATCTGTAGTACCTTGCATTTATCAGTATTAAAATTCATTTGCCAGTCTACTGACCACTCATGTAAGGTATCTAGATCTCTTTGAAGGTGTTCAAAGTCACTGTCACTGTCTTGATATACAGTACTAACTGGTCCCTGTCCAGATTAAAACCAAGATGAAACGCAAACAAACACTTAATAATGTATTACAAACCAAAAAACAACAACAACAACAACAACACATTATATACATTAAACCAACTACTAGAAACTCTCTCTCTCTCTCTCAGAAGAGCACTGAATAAATCCTTGTAAAATTCACATAATAACACTGCAGGCCTTGACACACACACACACACTACTGGGATATTGTTTTAGCGGTGTATGTGTTGTTTGCATGCATGTATGTTAAGTGTATGTTACCTTTTGTCGAAATGGGTGTTTATGCTGCAGCTGTAATTGTTTGTGATGCAGCTCTAATCTTAACTTGATACTTTGTACTGTTGGTGATGGTGACGTGTGTTGCTTGTATGTTGTATGTGTCTGTTGCTTGTTATTTGTGTGTGTCTGTTGACTGTGTTCTTTTAATAAGTAAATACATTTAAACCAAATTACTCTTTATTTAAAATTAATGAAGTACTTCTAGAGTCATATACCACCTCCAGTGCCAAATAGTTTAACACCTTAATTTTCTCCTATTCAGACCAAGTAAATATACCCCAAGCCAATGATGATGCAACATTCCAATACTCCAGCACTTGTCCCGGGAGGACCGACATCAAAACAATACCTCGAACCCAATCTTGCCTGGGGACGACCTGAAGTCAAACACAGTGCAGGGTCCCAGTGTAGTCTAAAGTCAGTGATGACATAGCCTGGTCCGGAATATATAGCCGGCCATTTAGAATAACGTTAATCAAATACGGATGTGATTCGTGTGTTGCATTGATGAGAGGGAGAGGTGACGAGGATAACAGACTCGGAGGCAGGCAGTGGTGTCTTGTTGAAGGTCTCCCGCCAACGGCATAAAGATATAATCGTTTTAATTAACTCTAGACAGCTGGTAAAGCCTTCTTGAATAGGTGGAAGGGTTTAAGTTTCGTTTTAGCAACACATGTGGATACTGCAGGCACAAAGGTGACGTAAGACACACCGCTCGATACTGGTGTGGCCTCGGTGTACTGTATACGGTGGCCAACCAGGACTGAAACGACTTGCTCGCGTCTCATAGCTCGTAAAGGGTTCGGGGATGGGATGGTCGATCGCGTCTCGATTGGTGGCAAAATTTCAGTCATTCTAGATCAATAACCGTCTGAAGCACGTCTGCATATCGTCCGCCACTACCGTCTTCGCTCCGTGAGGTCACCTGGGAACAGTCACGTCAGTCACCAGTAGGAAGGGGTGAGGTCATAGATGACACAACAATTGATCATGACTATAATATATTCACTAGTATACTACATAAAGCACAAGAACAAAATATACCATACAGAAAAATTAGGTCAAATAAGAATGAGCCAGGGTGGATGACCAGAAAACTTAAACATGACATAGGAATAAAGAAAGGAATATATAAGAAATTAAAGGGAGGGGAGGAGCAGCTCAGAAATAGGTATAATGAACTATCTAGGAATGTTAAGAAAAATGTAAGGAAAGCAAAGAGAGACTTTGAAATTAAAATAGCAAGAGAATCCAAGGTGAATCCCAAGGGATTTTTCCAGGTATATAGAACAAAGGTCAAGGACAAACTTGGGCCTTTAAAGTCAGGGAGGGGAGAAGTGATAAATGGCAGTGGAGAAATAAGCAAAGCATTGAACAGCTACTTCTTATCAGTTTTCACAGAGGAAATTCGCGATGAAATTCCAGAGGTGGAACTGATATTTAAGGGAAAGGCAGAAGAGAAATTAAAGAATATCACTATCAGAAAAGAGGATGTTCTTAAGAAGATAAATAAACTAAAGAAGACAAAATCCCCAGGGCCGGATGAAATTTTTCCTGGAGTCTTGAAAGAGTGTAGGGAACAGATTAGCGGATCCCTCGTAAACTTATTTACAAAATCATTAGACACCGGAGTTGTGCCAGGCTTGTGGAAACAGGCAAATGTAGTTACCCATATTCAAAAAGGGAGACAGAGCATCAGCGTCAAATTACCGGCCGATCAGTTTAACGTCAGTAGTGGGGAAATTTCTTTAATCAATTATAGCAGATAACATCCTATCGCATTTAGAGAAAAGCAAATTAATCTTCGACTCTCAACTTGGGTTTACAAAGGGAAAATCTTGTCTAACAAATCTGCTGACATTTTTTAGGAAAGTCTTGCGATGTTATTTACTTAGACTTTAGTAAAGCACTTGACAGAGTACCGCATCAGAGGCTTCCGAGAAAAATTAAGGCTCATGGTATCGAGGGGAAGGTTTTAAATTGGATAAAATCATGGCTCACCGATAGAACGCAGAGGGTCAGCGTAGATGGTGTTAAATCTGAGTGGGGTCGTGTAACCAGCGGGGTTCCCCAGGGGTCAGTACTAGGCCCACTCTTGTTCATAATCTACATAAACGATCTAGATTCTAGATACTGGGATCAGCAGTGACATAAGCAAGTTTGCGGATGACACAAAAATAGGGCGGCAGATTAATTCAGGGCAGGATGCAAATGCATTACAGGAGGATCTAAATAAACTGCAGGGGTGGTCTGAAAAATGGCAAATGAAATTCAACACCAGCAAGTGCAGCGTACTTAATATTGGAAGAACAAATACTGTCAATGTATACAGCCTTAACAACATCAACCTAGAGAGGTCGACTTGTGAAAGAGACCTAGGGGTATTAGTAAGCCCGGACCTACGGCCTAGAAAACAGTGCGTTAATGTTCGAAATAAGGCAAACAGAGTATTGGGTTTTATATATAGAAGTGTAAGTAATAAGAGTGCAGAGGTCTTATTGCAACTATATCTTGCGCTAGTCAGGCCGCAACTCGATTATGCGGTTCAGTTCTGGTGTCCTTATTATAGAATGGATATCAATTCACGAGAGTCGGTGCAGCGAAGAATGACGAAAATGATTCCGGGACTTAGAAACCTTCCATATTAGGATAGGTTAAAGAAACTAAACTTGCATTCCCTAGAAAGACGAAGAGTGCGGGGAGATATGATAGAAGTATTCAAGTGGGTGAAAGGAATCAATAAAGGGGATATAGATAAAGTTCTTATAATATCCGAGCAGGATAGGACTCGGAACAACGGATTAAAGTTGGATAAGTTTAGGTTTAGGAGGGAGATAGGAAGGAACTGGTTTACAAATAGGGTGGTGGACGAGTGGAACAAGCTTAGCAACTTTGTAGTAAGTGCTGGAACCCTGGAAAGTTTCTAAGGGAGTCTGGATAGATTTATGGATGATAGAGAGTGGTAGTAACTCTCGACAGGAGCTGCCATGCACAGGCCAACCGGCCTATTGCAGACTCCTTATTTTCTTATGTTCTTATGTTTTTATGTGACCGGACTGCTTCACGATGAGACGGACTAAATTTACAATATCGTGCACAGTGTCGTCCTCCCACCAGTCGACCTGCTCACCTGTCTGGATGTCTGGATTGTTTATGAAGTGTGGACAAGATGTTTAGCTATCCAGATTACTCGTGAAATCTACAACAAAACACAGAGAAAACTTTGTGGTAATTTCTATTTACAGTCGAAGATACACTGAATGAGCAGAGCAGAGATGACTTAGAGAGGATGAGCGGCCAGCGTGTGACAGCAGCTGCAACAACACATTACGAGACTGTTATCAGCTTTAAAAATACACCAGCCAACACCAGCCAACCCCAACACACGACCCACTACTGCCACCGAGTCCTAAAACTACAGCGTTACTCCTACATTATTGCCACCATCAACATCCTCCTCCACCATGACCTCACACCACAACCACCATCACCTGTTGCTCTTTTGTGCCTTCATTTAAGGCAGCAGCTGTTGATAAACTCGATCTGTCCCTAGTGGAAGTATTATGCACTTTTAAAGACTAACAATGAGGAGAAATCTACAGTAGTCTACCAGGGGCAACAAACACCTAACCTAATCCCCCCCCCCCCTCTAGGTAATATTAAGGTTGTTTAATCATCAGGTAAAATAAGGAGGAGGAGGGGCTCATGTTCAGGTGATCTAGAATTTTTTTTAAATCCGCCTCAGTCTCGGTGTGAACGAACGATAATTCTCAGGTGCGTTCGCGCGGCAAATCCGGATTAAGATTAAGGTATCGAACAATGGTATGAGTGGATCCTTCCCTTATCATTATGTTTTTGGTCTAAGTCTTGTAGCTGGGGAGACTTGGGGGTTCGTTTTAGGGATTCTCTTGGTAATTTGAATCCGGAATAAGGTCCAGAGAATACGAGAGAGAGAGAGAGAGAGAGAGAGAGAGAGAGAGAGAGAGAGAGAGAGAGAGAGAGAGAGAGAGAGCCACAATATGAATAATTTATTTACAAATTTTAAACACACACACACAGCAAGAAAGTCATACCAACTTTGCCACTTTAAGACACTTCCAAACAAGTAAGTACACAGTGTCTGGGTGTGTCATTTAGGAAATAGGTCAATATTATCTTTTAACCTCTTGAATACAATGACATAACACCTTAAATCATCAAGTCATCGTACCCAAGGGGTTAAATCCTCATACTCGAAGGTGTATTCTCGAGGGGTTTAGTCATCTTACTCGAGGAATTGTTATCGTACTCAATAGGTTAAGTTATTTTACTCTAGTCATCGTACACGAGTCATCGAGTCATCGTACTCAAGGGGTTAAAGTGTTAGTATAACTTTCAATAACTTATTCGTGTTATTATATGTGTGTGTGTATGTCAACAGAGCGATGGGAGGGAACGTGTTGTGGTCGCTGGAGAAGGCTGTCAAATGGTGCGTGAGGAGGGAGTACATCCACGTCGACTCCACCCCCTTCTACTCCTTCAGTAGGTACTCAGGAGTCTCGCTTGGTCTCGGCCTCGGTCTGTCCTCGCCCATGTACAAGAAGGCCAACCGTGCGAGGTGAGGACATGATCTTCAACCCCTTTTTCTTATACTTTACGGGAAGAAAATAAAGACCTAATTTTCTTAAACAATTGTGAAGTAAATCAGTATTTTATTTTCTTTAACTGCAGGAGAATAAATTTAGTGTTCAATTTCTTCTTAAACTACACTACCAAAATGAACATCTCTCTCTCTCTCTCTCTCTCTCTCTCTCTCTCTCTCACACCACCAAAATAACCCCTCTCTCTATCTCCCTCCCACCCTCAGGTTCAGCTACAAGATGATCCTCTCACTGGTAATCGTCAGCCTGGCAGTGAGTCAGGCTGGAGTGTTCGCACATAAGTCACTGAAACCGACCATGACGGGGTGGTACCTGGCGGAGTTTACCCTCAACGCCGTGGTGACCTTCGTGTTGGTGGCCGGACTCCCTCACCTGGTCAGGGTAGCCTCCAAGGTCGCTCCAGGTGAAAAGTTTAAGAAGAAATGATTGTTGGAGTTCATTTTGGAGATTAAATGATTGTTGGAGTTCATTTTGGAGATTAAATGATTGTTGGAGTTCATTTTGGAGATTAAATGATTGTTGGAGTTCATTTTGGAGATTTTCTTAATAAAACTCTCAAGCTGCTTTTGTTTTCGTTGTCATAATTTTCTCATTTGATTACCTTATGATAAACCTAACCTAACCAAACCTAACTTAACCTAATCCTCTTCAGGTAGTATCAGGATGTGTTTAATCTTCATGTGAAATAGGCATGGGGTGGGGGGAGGCTAATCTGTAGGTCGTACCATTAGCCCCCCAAATATTTTTGCTGACTTGATAAAATTAAAACATGTAAACTTCAAAATGCCGAGGAGGACGGAACTGACATCAGTGAAATAGAGCAAAAGTGACGTCAATGAATGAGAGCGGAAGTGATGTTAGGGAATGAGAGCGGAAGTGACGTCATTGGAGGAGTGCGGAGGTGACGTTAGGAAATGAGTGCGGAAGTAACGTCAGTGGCTGAGAGTAGAAGTGACGTCAGTGAATAAGATCGAAAGTGACGTCAGTGAATGAGAGCAGAAGTGACATCAGTGGCTGAGAGTAGAAGTGAAGTCAGTGAATAAGAGCAGAAGTGACATCAGTGAATGAGAGCAGAAGTGACATCAGTGAATGAGAGCAAAAGTGACGTCAGTGAATAACAGCCCACGGTTTGTTTACGTGAGTCTGAAGCCAACATTCCAGTCCACTCTTATGAATAATTCGTTACGACAACTATGTGTTGAAGTCATTACTTATTAAATTACACATTGCAAGCGTATTATTCGACTATGTTACTAGATGCCATAAATTCGTAAAACTTGTCGTCATTAAACTATTGAAGTAAAACGTACAGAACACATATTAGCCGAGGCAAACGTTGTAGTAAATGTTTTTAGAATTGTTTTTGCGTCATGGACGTTTATCAGGTCAGTGTGTTTGTAAGAAGGTTACTCCGGTATGGCGTCAACATCTCAAAGCACCTCATGGTAGACGCACTACCATCATATGATGGGGTGATCATGGGGAGTAATTTGGCAAGTTACAGGTTTTTGTAAACCGTAATGAGAACAGAAGTTTTAGCGTTGTCTGTAATTGGTCGTCTCCTTTTTACCACAAAGATGTAGTTATTTTCACCGCGACTTCTGAAAAGCTGTAATCCATACCCAGAAACTCAACACTGATATAAAAATATAAATAAAACTTTCCTTTTAATTTTATGCACTTATTTTTGCACTGGAAGGATATAAATTATAAGATACAATTTGTTTGTTATAATCGATGGAAATGGAGAGTTTTAGCATAAAGGACATAAGAACATAAGAAAATAAGGAGTCTGCAATAGGCCGGTTGGCCTGTGCATGGCAGCTCCTGTCGAGAGTTACTACCACTCTCTATCATCCATGAATCTATCCAGTCTTCTTTTGAAACTTTCCAGCGTTGCAGCACTTACTACAAAGTTGCTAAGCGTGTTCCACTCGTCCACCACCCTATTTGTGAACCAGTTCCTTCCTATCTCCCTCCTAAACCTAAACTTATCCAACTTAAATCCGTTGCTCCGAGTCCTATCCTGCTCGGATATTATAAGAACTTTATCTATATCCCCTTTATTGATTCCTTTCACCCACTTAAATACTTCTATCATATCTCCCCGCACTGATCCAGCTCAGTTGCTACCTGACCCAGCTTGGAGAAGGACGTGCCCCCCAAGTTCTCCCGTAGTGACCAAGGAAAATGGCCGCCTTGGATCGTTGTGTCTTGGGGGAAGAGGAGAGTAGTGTGGGGAAAGACGACCTCTTGGCCACTCTGCTAAGGCAGTTGGGGCAGTTGAGGAGTGAGGTTGCCACTCTCAAGGGGGAAAATGAAGCCCTCAGGACTGAACTCCTTCAGGTAGGCGTCCTGCCTAGTAGGACACCTGCGAAGAAGGAGCAGGCGTGGAGAGTGGTTGTCTCCAAGGGGACTAGGGTCAGGCTCAGGAAAGCTGACCAGGGTGTGGAATGTAGGAACCCCTACCAGGTGCTGGAGGAAGCTGGCGAGGAAGAGAAGAGGCAGGAAAGTGTAGTGCAGGTAGAGGAAAGGGCAGTTGTACAAACCCTGCCCAGAGGTAAGGTCGTGGTAGTTGGGGACAGCCAGGGGAGGTTTTTAGATAGGACTTTTTGTACAAGAGAAAGGAAACGTAGGACTAGGGTATGTTTTCCTGGGGCTGGGATAGGGCATGTAGCTGAGAGGTTAGACAGGGTTTTGTCAGGGGAGGGTACCAATCCAGTAGTGTGTCTTAGTGTGGGAGGAAACGACATAGGAAAGGTTAGGAGTGAGGAACTTTTCAAGAGGTATAGGGAGGCGCTGGGGAAGGTTAGAGATAGGGGAGGGATCCCGATAGTATGTGGTGTCTTGCCTAGAAGAGGGGTTGGTCGTGAATGGCTGTCCAGGGCAATTGCTATAAATTCACTAGAGTCGGTGCAGCGAAGAATGACGAAAATGATTCCGGGACTTAGAAACCTTCCATATCAGGATAGGTTAAAGAAACTTAACTTGCATTCCCTAGAAAGACGAAGAGTGCGGGGAGATATGATAGAAGTATTTAAGTGGGTGAAAGGAATCAATAAAGGGGATATAGATAAAGTTCTTATAATATCCGAGCAGGATAGGACTCGGAGCAACGGATTTAAGTTGGATAAGTTTAGGTTTAGGAGGGAGATAGGAAGGAACTGGTTCACAAATAGGGTGGTGGACGAGTGGAACAAGCTTAGCAACTTTGTAGTAAGTGATGGAATGCTGGAAAGTTTTAAAAGGAGGCTAGATAGATTCATGGATGATAGAGAGTGGTAGTAACTCTCGACAGGAGCTGCCATGCACAGGCCAACCGGCCTATTGCAGACTCCTTATTTTCTTATGTTCTTATATCATATTTGTATCACTTATGTTACCTGTATATCATTTGTAAATCAAGAGACCCATTCCCCAATTATGTAATTGTATATTTTCAGCCTTCCGACTGCCATGCTCTTTCAATAAACCATTCATTATTATCATTATTATTATTATTACACGCACACACACACACACACACACGCACATATTGACCGCTCGTACGTTGACGCTTGTCCAGAAACCGAGAAAATTATTCATTCTGCCGTGAGTGGAAAATTGTCAGCCACTTTCCCGGGATTTTAGTCTTTTACCCCGTGTTCCACCCGCCTTCATTGCTCCCCCGGGCCACTGTATTATGTTTTATTAAATACAGTTAATCTTTCATTCTAGTGTTGTATTAGTGTTGTTGTATTTTCTTATTATTAATGTTTGATTTTTGTTTTGCAATAAACCAAAATCTAATTTTTTTTCAAAGTTTGTTTTATCTTTGTCTCTAAGCCGGAGTCTAAGGCATGGACAGACAGACACCCTTAGCCATTCAACACACACACACACACACACACACACACACACACACACACACACAGGTAACAAGGTAAGCTACAGTACCATTCACACCGTCATCAAAATCAAATAAACATCACAAATGACCCAAATTTATGAATGGGGTTCCGGCCACGCCTACCTCCTCAACGTAAACACCCCCCCCCCCTCACAACCTTCCCGCCATTCAAAAAATCTCTATGGTCAGTCCTACGAGCTTATGAATCATTAAGTAGAGTTAGATATTAATTAACTCTATATTACCTGGTTAAGTAGAGGCCTCTTGGACTTAATGAAGACCAAGGAATATAAAAGTCGTTAAGATAAACTGAAATCGTGTTCTAGTTTGAATTTTATAAGGTAAAATAGTTGGTAGTTTATTTTCTCTCTGTGGAAGATAATTTAATTTGATTGGATAATTTATAATCGTGGTGAGAATAATTTCATGCACGAGGATAGACTTAATATCCTCGTGTTCAATAATTAAAAGGTATAGTAGCCTAATAATAATAATAATAATAATAGTAATAATAATAATAATAATAATAATAATAATAGTAATCACAGTAATGCCGAAATAATGATAACAACAACAATAATGATAAAATAATAACTAGTAATATTTTTCAATGCGAGAAAAAAGGAAAAAGAGAAAACGAAAAGAAAAATCCATACACATTTAAGAACAGTAGTGGGAAGTACATAAAGCTGTGTATACGACAATATCTACTACGACACAAACACTGTCAGATAACCAACCAACAACAAACATTTACATCAACGATCCCTCGCATCTGGAGCACTAGAGTAAATCCCACAATTTTCTCGCACAAATATAAAACAATTGCAGTATACTTCCATCTCGTACTTTGCAAAACTGGTATTTTATATTGCAAATTTTACTTTTTATGCAAGATTTTTTTTAGTTACAGAATGAAATGGCGCTTTCTATTTTCCCGTCAAGCGGGTGTGAAGGCAAGCCTGATAAAGATGGTGGCCGCCAATGCATAGCAAGTAGGCATATTGTACAAAACTTGTAGAGCCAACACCGTAAAACACATGACTACATTATGTAGACAATTTAATCTGCAGCGTTTTGAATGAAATTTAATATGAATGTTGCTTGTATGTCTTGATTATTCACTGTGTTGTGTTAAATTACTGTATACAGTGGTTCAGTAGCTCACTTGGGAAAGCGTTCAGACAAAGGTCATGGGTTCGATTCCCAAACAGAAAGGAGTAAATGCGTACACTACTGGGTGCCTTAACGGTGGTGGAACAACCCTCGGTGGAGTAACATCCTGCCAGGCTGGTGGAGTGACTAGGGCCATTAGCTACTGAAGAGACAGAAACAGATCAACGCCTGGCCGGCCACCCCGTACCCTGTTAGGTTTGTATGTATGGAGAGAGAGAGACTCTCAACCCTCGTTTGCTTACCATGAATAAAAATCAATGGTCTGTACTACTCTCAGTGCCCCAATCTCATTCCCTTCAGGGCTCATAAACGTACAGTTGTGGACCAAATTCTCTGGACATTTATGGCACTATCTAGCATCTACTTCAGGATCATGTAAAGGAAAGAAGATTTCAATATCTATATACTGACTCAAACTTTTCTTGGTATTATTTAATATTTTATGATGTTATTCTATTTATTTGTTGCTGTTGTTATCGGTGATGTTATTGTTGTTGC